GTTATTACTCTATGACTTACGTACTTCACAACACTGTAAGTACGCGTTCCTGATACGACACCTCAACGCTATGAGCGTTTTCTAGCGACGGGAAAATCCCCCGTCAGCAGCAGTGGGTGGAGAGGAACTGAAGGAGCAGACGCTTTTCTACAGCTGAGATAAGGGAAAGCAAGTTCACATTTAACAACGTCATTCTGAAAACCCCGAGTTACAGGCCACTGGTTAAACCCCCTCTGCAGGCTCTGGCCCGGGAGCCCTCTCCCGGGCGTGGCTGGCTGGCAGGCGGGGCAGGCATACGTACCTCCATGTGTCTCTCCAGCTCCTTGAGCAGTGCAGGGTATTTGTCCAGGCGCATGAACGGCTTGCTGAGGCCGGTGGTCAGCACGAGAATGCCTGGGCTGCTGGCGCCCTTCATCTCCATGAACTCGCCCAGCTCTTCACTGACCACACGCAGCCACGCGGGGAGAGGAGAAGAGGCCACCGTTAGAGCTCAGAAGGGCCGCGCCCCTGCCCCAGTCCCACCAGGACTACGAAGTACCACGCGGTGTCCCTGACGGTTCAGAGGCTACCGCTGTCACAGCCCAACACGTGCTGGTTATCTCCAAACGCCAGAGCGGAGATCCCCACACAGCTCATGTTCTCGCCCTCAGTCTGAGCAAAACCACGTGTGCCTAACACAGAGCACCTGTGCTTTCCCAGCCACCCCCCCCCCCCACCCCCCCCCCCCCCACCCCCACCCCCATCCCCATCCCCATCACGAAAGGCCACCTCAGTGAGGCACTTTCCTGTGGAAGAGTGTGAATGTGCGTGGCCTTCTGAGCGCAAGAACAGGGCCCCGTTACCTGGAACCTCAAGACAGTAAAACGTGTCAGGAGATGCGTCCCAACTACCACCAAATGAATCACGGCGCTGACCCTCCAGGTGCTTTAGTCCCCGAAGGCGGCTGCACGATGCAGCACGATAAAGTAACTCACACATCCTCGGGCTTTAAACTTTCAAAAGCATTTTTGCATCATCATTTCATTTAACCCTCCCAGTGTGTGTGAAGAAAGTTTTCCGCATCTGTAGGTGAGGACACCTAGTATACGCTCAGAAGCTAACTCGGCTCTAAAAGCACGTCTTCAATACCGTACTCCTCCTCTGTCACCCTCACCCTCACCACCTTCCACCTAACGCTCCAGTGGCAACGCCCTCCTGAGCCGCCCCACATCGTGCCCTGTGCCGCCCTGGGGGCTCCAGTTCAGGAAGTCCCCAGGAAGGTCAGGGGCACAGCTGTGGGTCAAGCTCTGTCACTCACACATTTGTGGCTCACGTCTGTGACTGAAACTCTGTGCTTCTGTCTCTGCACTGAGGGACAGATGACGTTTATAAAGGGTCCATGGGAGGAAGCCAGTCTGTGCCCCTCACTGCTGCCGAGACGTGTCCCTCCAGACACCGGGGGACGGAGGACACCTGGAATGCAGGCTGTGAGAAGAGGCGGCACCCACCCACTGGGAGGGCAGGACAACCTCGGGGTCCTGAAGAATCACCGAGCCCATCCCCCCCGGGTGCCGGTCAGCTGAACCCGCCTCACGCCTCACCTCCACCCCCATCTGTACGTGGCCGCCCGCCCAAGCTTCCTAGGACCAGCAGCCCCACTGATGGCTCCTGGCGAAAAACGGGAGGTATTCAGGCTAAACCGTCTGAAACTGCTAGTTCAAAAGCGGTGAATACGAGAGTCTCCTACGGTACAACCTAGAGTGACTTTCTGTGGGACGTGTGACAGCAGAGCTGGTGCTGGCACTGCCCACCTCTTACTCTCAACCCTGCACATCGATTCTGCTGACATATCCAAAGGGGAAGGTACCTGACCCGACTAAACCAGCTCAGAAACAAAAGCTTCCAAGTGTCAGGCTGCAAACAAATCCATCAACCCCTGGGAAATCAGCCTTATGTCTCTCAAGCAGTAAGACCTCTCTCGGAGACAGCTCCTGTCTGCGCTGGGGCTCGCGACAACGTGGGCGGCCTGAGCCGGAGCGCGTCCTGGCTGCGTACGAAGAATGACAGCATAGTTAACAGCACCTGCCATCTACCTACCTACCTATACATAGTTTTCTTCAAAAATCAACCTTGTAAATAAATATACATACACATTTAGGAGCTATGATCAAAATCAAAGCAAATTATAAAACGGGAAAATGTTCACAAAGTCCTCGTTATAACAACTCAGCATATACAATACACATTTTTCCCACTTCCATCAGAAGGAAGGCTTCATGACGACTTCCTTCCTGCGAGACAGCCTGCCACGGTGGTGCAATTTAAAATATTTAGCACAGAAGCAGCCTAACTACTTCTAGGGCTCTATGTGCACACGCGCGTTCATAGGCAACGCGACCCAACACCTCTGTGCACAGAACTCTGTGCTTTCGAAGAACGGCTTTCCCGGAAAACCACAGGGCTGGGCTTCCGAAGCCAGGCAGGCGATGCTCCGGGACCCTGCTGTGGGGCAGCCTGGCGCTGGCACTGCTGTGCACGGTTCCATGCTCTGCCATCACCCTGCCTTGCCCTCCTTGTAGGGCTGGCTCTTCCAAGCCCGACCCTCAGGGCTGCCTCCTGGCCCACCTCCCCAAGCTCGGGCAGAGGAGACGCACAGGCAGGAGCGCACGTCAGGGAGAGGGACAGAGCAGGGGCAACGGCACCGGACACGCACTGTGCATCCTTCCCGCCCACGCCACCCCGGGCCTGAGACAGGGGTCATCGTGCACGTCTGCAGACGGGAGCCACTGCCAACAGTGGCCGAGCCCAGGTGGGGCCCCCTACCCACGCGCGGCCGCTCCACGTCTTGTGCCCACCAGGCCCGCCCTAGCCCTCAAACATTTTCACTCGGAAACGTTTGCCTCTTCAGATCAGCCCACCCATCCCTAACACGTGAGCAGAGAGAAATGATGGCTTTATGGAGGAGAAATTTATACTTTACCAGCATTTCTCTGAATGTTGAACAAATGATCAAGCACAGTCCCATAAAAATGAACCTTAATGATATTAACAGTACATTTCGACTCCTTTAAATATAATCCAGTTGGGGCCTTTTCTACCACAAGAAAAATCGTCACAAAGTCTCTTCAGGCCATTTTTGATACTTCAGTATTATACGTGCAATTTCATAACCATAGTTATGGCAGACAATAATGAATAAAACTAAGCAAATTATCCTCATCACCCACTCACCCATCCCCCAAAATTCCCTACAACTAAAAATTTATGTGAAATTTTTGCAAAAGCAAAAGTAACTTCTTTTAACATTCACATGGCAGCCTTTCAATGCCAGACACGTGCACAGTTAAGAAAGGAAACAGAACTTTTTATAAATCTTTACAGATCACTGAAATCGTTTTTTTTTTAGTTTCAAAAACAAATTTAGTACTACAATAAAACAAGACAAAACGGCTGGTTACAGCTTTTCTGACAAAACAAAGGCTCTTTCAGCTTAATTTCTACTGAGGCCGGCGATCCTTACACAGCGTACCGCCTCTGTATTTACTGAAATGACACCATGGGCCGCAAGACGGCAACCAGGGGAACACACAGAGAGCCATCAAGTAGCCCAGCAAAAAGCCACAGGTAAAGTGCTGGAAAAAACGAAACCCGTAATTCACTCAAAACAGGCAGCCATGAGCCTATGAGGCTACTATCACGTGATAATGCAAAAGGTACACGTCAGTTATAATTCAACAGAACTGGTGCTTCTTTTTTTTGCCATCCAAGGGCAGCTGAACTTTTTTTTTTTTAAACATCTTTATTGGAGTATAATTGCTTTACAACGGTGTGCGAGTTTCTGCTGTGTAACGAAGTGAATCAGCTATATGTATACATATATCCCCATATCCCCTCCCTCTTGAGCCTCCCTCCCACCCTCCCTATCCCACCCCTCTAGGTGGTGACAAAGCACCGAGCTGATCTCCCTGTGCTATGCGGCTGCTTCCCACTGGCTATCTATTTTACGTTTGGTAGTGTATATATGTCCATGCCACTCTCTCACTTCATCCCAGCCTCCCCTTCACCCCGTGTCCCCCAGTCCATTCTCAACGTCTGTGTCTTTATTCTCCCCCTGCCAACTAGGTTCACCGGTACCACTTTTTCAGATTCCATATATATGTATTAGCATAAGGTATTTTTCTCTTTCTGACTTACTTCACTCTGTAGGACAGACTCTAGGTGCATCCACCTCACTACAAATAACTCCATTTCATTCCTTTTTATGGCTGAGTAATAGTCCATTGTACATATGTGCCACATCTTCTTTATCCATTCATCTGTCGATGGGCATTTAAGGTTGCTTCCATGTCCTGGCTATTGTAGATAGAGCTGCAGTGAACACTGTGGTACATGACTCTTTTTGAATTACGGTTTTCTCAGGGTAGATGCCCAGTAGTGGGATTGCTGGGTCGTATGGTAGTTCTATTTGTAGTTTTTTAAGGAACCTCCATACTGTTCTCCATAGTGGCTGTATCAATTTACATTCCCACCAACAGTGCAGGAGGGTTCCCTTTTCTCCACACCCTCTCCAGCATTTGTTGTTTGTAGATTTTCTGATGATGCCCATTCTACCTGGTGTGAGGTGATACCTCACTGTAGTTTTGATTGGCATTTCTCTAATACTTAGGGATATTGAGCAGCTTCTCATGTGCCTCTTGGCCATCTGTATGTCCTCTTTGGAGAAATGTCTATTTAGGTCTTCTGCCCATTTTTCAATTGGATTGTTTGTTTTTTTGATACTGAGCTCCATGAGCTGTTTGTGTATTTTGGAGATTAATCTTTTGTCCGTTGTTTCATTTGCAAATATTTCCTCCCATCCTGAGGGTTGTCTTTTCATCTTGTTTATGGTTTCCTTTGCTGTGCAAAAGCTTTTAAGTTTCATTAGGTCCCACTTGTTTATTTTTGTTTTTATTTCCGTTACCCCAGGAGGTGGGTCAAAAAGGATCTTGCTGGCTTTGCAGACGCCGCCACCCCAGAACCTCCCGCGCTGCCCAACCATGGTCAACCCTACCGTGTTCTTTGACATCGCCGTCAACGGCGAGCCCTTGGACCGCGTCTCCTTTGAGGTGAGGGACCTGGAAACCAAGAAGTGACTGCTCATCCAATCCATAAAGCTACGTTAACAGATTGGAGCTGTTTGCGGACAAAGTTCCAAAGACAGCAGAAAACTTTCGTGCTCTGAGCACTGGGGAGAAAGGCTTTGGTTATAAAGGTTCCTGCTGTCACAGAATAATTCCGGGATTTATGTGCCAGGGTGGTGACTTCACATGCCATAATGGCACTGGTGGCAATTCCATCTACGGGGAGAAATTTGATGACGAGAATTTCCTCCTGAAGCATACGGGTCCTGGCATCTTGTCCATGGCAAATGCTGGCCCCAACACAAACGGTTCCCAGTTTTTCATCTGCACTGCCAAGACTGAGTGGTTGGATGGCAAGCATGTGGTCTCTGGCAAGGTGAAAGAGGGCACGAATACTGTGGAAGCCATGGAGCGCTTGGGGTCCAGGAATGGCAAGACCAGCAAGAAGATCACCACTGCTGACTGTGGACAAATCTAACAATAAGTTTGACTTGTGTTTTATCTTAAAAAAGGATCTTGCTGTGATTTATGTCACAGAGTAGAACTGATGGTTCTGTATATACATTTTCAAGATTCATACTCAGAATTCAAACTAACACAATGTAAGGATCATAAGACTGTAAGTAAGACTTTAAAACTGCAAAACACTACGTTTAAATCAATGCTGAAAAAGTATACTGACATATATACACTAACATGTATAAAATAGATAACTAATAAGAACCTGCTGTATAAAAAAATAAATAAAATTAAATTTAAAAAGAAAAAAGTATATTCAAGCAAAAAAACAGATTTATCTACCCCTCAGTGTGGCGGCTTTTAAGACTACAACAAACGTAGGGAAGCGGGAAAGAGGCCACAAGCTAGGGTCCCAGAATGGAAAGTGAAGGCCAACAGAGGCCCCCAGCCCCCCGCGAGCCTCCTCTCAATCCCCCAACTTACGCTTCAGAAGCAGGGTCTGACCTGCGGGCGGAGTGGGCGCTCTCGCTGCCCCAGGACCTCAGGAGGGCACGCAGGCAGCGCATCCTGCGGCCTCCACGCTCTCCCGCCGTCTCCGGGCTCACAGGCCCAGAGCCTGACCTCATTCCACCCGCCTCCCACTCCGGGACTCGCCACGTGGTGGAGGGCAGAGGTCCCCACTCAGAACCGCATCTGTATTCTCTCCCTGCTATTCTGGGGAAAAGCTCCACTGAGGTTTCAGCTACGACACAAACAGTCATTAAAGTAATAGTACAGAAGAGAGGAAAACAGCACATGCTTGCGAGCATTCCCCTTGAACGTCTAAACATTTTAGGAAACTTCAACAGTCTGAACTGCTTTAAATGTCACCTTCGGCACGGAGCCTCACAACCACCCTCTTTTCGTACTTTCAACCCACCCCTGGGGGATCAACCCCTGACCAAAAAGGGGGAAGGAGAGAGCAAAATTAAAAAGGTGTGCAATTTTACCCTAACATTCTATTTGCTGTTTATCTCCCCCATGGCTGTGTCAGCAATTCCTGAGGAATTTTCAGAGACACAAATGTAATCTCTGCATTTCACCGGTATGGAAATTCCATTTAACTTGTCATTCCCAGGAGTGGATGCCAGAGCATGTAACTGCATCCATGCTTCACAGTTTAACTAGGAAGGTACATGCTAACACTGCCCACACTCCCAGAAGCGTGAAGAAGAAGACCCGATGGGTTTTTCATTTCTGTGGTCGCCGTGTGTCCTAATCTCTCTTCTTTCCATCACCGTGTCAAAGACTGCTTGCTTCGCTGCAGGACTGGAAACGCTTTACTACAAATGGAGGTTCAGTATTTACGCACACAGAGAAGCAGTAAACACCCAGAGTCCAGATAAGATAATAAAGCAATTCGCATTACTGAGCCTTCATCGTGCTCACTCAGTCCTGACAGTTTACATGTTCTGCCTCACGCCTACAGTACCCTATGGCCAGCGCTCTCAGAGAAGAGGGGTGACCTCCTGAGACCCATCTGCTTCAGAGAGGCAGTGAGGGCTCAAACCAGGTCTGACGGGCCCAGAGGCCCTGCCACCAGGCCCACACAACCCAGGCGCGCTCACAGGGATGCTACGCTGCAAGCTCAGCTCAATCTCGGCAATGCCTGCTTCCCAGCAGTTTCTAAGCTTCAAACCGAAATGCTTAGGAGTGCGTTGAGGTTAAATATTTAAACCACAAGCACAGTGGCGTTTACCCTGATGCGACTAACACAACTTCTTCATTTACGGGTTAAACAGTGATTGAACCGCTACTTATGGCTGAACTGCCGTTTTCAGAAGAAACCGTAAATGTTTTCTAGGACACTTATTAATGCAAACGCGTGCCCTTCTGGGGGCAGAAACAGCCTCATCACCCACTCCGTCTGCAGGCCGAACCCGTGGTCCTCGCCGCTGCCCAGGGTGCCCAGCCCTCCTCCAGGACACAGGTACGGCCTTGTCTTACCAAACAAGCTGGAAATCAATCTGTCCATTGTTTCACTTGTTGCACCGCTGCTTCGGGGTGAAAAGCTAAAGCTAACGGTCTCCAACTTCATGTTTTCCTAAGAAATCCAGGCCTCACTGTAAATGCACATTTAGTCCTACAGCAAGTGTACTTCTGTCTCACGTGGTCTGGTGTTTACGCGCTGAGAAACGCGATTCCAGCAGCCCGGACTCAGCCTGCAGCCACATTCCAGAACACTTACCAGCTCCTTCAACCCACTGTCCAAAGGGTACGAGCTGAAGGGGAGACTTCAAAACACATCCTTTTCTATTATAAAAGCACTAAGCAGGATTTCAAAGACTTCCAACCAGTACTTCTCAGGCACTAATTCCGAGGGTAATTAAAATGATCATCTTTGAATAAACGCGTGAATGTTCACACTGCATTGCACGTAACATCTGACAGAAACAAGCTGCTCCAGGGGGGACCCCATGACGCCACTCCCCGCTCGGGGAGGCAAGTCCCAGAGACGCACCTGTGCTCCGTGAGGACGCTCACTGCAGACGGGTGGTTGGCACAATACGCGAGGTACAAGGTCTTCATCTGCGGCATCAGGTTTAAAAAGCAGCCTCCGACTCTCTGCTGGGCTTCAGGCATCCTGGAGAGGAGAGGCACAAGGGAACCATCCTGAGTGCCACAGACAGTAGTGGACGTGGGGACCATGCGGGAGGAGGGCCTGTGCACCACCCCACAGAAACGGCACACACGAGTCCCAGACTGTATGTGCTCCGAACACGAGCCAGCGGGGGGAGAGACCTGCCTCGGAAGCCGCTCTGCCATAAAGCAGCCAACCAAGCCCGTCCTTTTCTCCAGCGTCCAGATGCCAGGACCTGTGCACAAGTCCAGGATTCCTTGAGCAGTGAGGAAAATAATGTCATGAAGCCTTAAATTGTGTGTAAAATAAGGAGAAATATAACATGTGGTTACTTGGTCGGTAAGGTTTTCTACTGAAGGAGCATCAAGACAGGCAGATGAGAAAACACGACAGCCCTCTTTCCCTTTGGGCGAAGGCTGGAGAGAATCAGTGGTAGGCAGAGAGACAAGCATGCCAACGAAACCTACAGGCCATCATCGCCATCATCGTCACTGACGTGGGAAAAAGACTCGTCCAGAGCAGGAAAGGCACCTTAATCCTGCGGGAGGACGGGCCAGCTGCCAACAGCACTTCCCTAACGCAGCGCCTAACTCTGACCGGGCGTGTGCTGCTTCTTGCGAGTTTCACTGCTCAGTTCACTGATTCAGATCTGAAGCCACAGTAAGCTAGCACCCGCACTTCTAGCAGACTCTTCTCCAGTGTGAGCTTAGCCCTAAGTGGGTTTTCAATAGCCTCCAGGGATTAGTCCCAGTTCCGTGTATCTGCAGGAGAAACAGTCACTGACTCAACAAATTAACTTCAACCATTCATTCAGGCACTGCGAACAGATTAAAAACAGAGAAAGAAATGATCTCTACCTAAAAAGCGACTGCAGTCTTTTAGGGGAATACAAAACAAGTTCAAAAATGAACTGACTATAAGACAGAGATGGTGTCTCAATTTTCTGAGACGCAAATTGCAGCAGCGCTCAGAGGAGGACAGCACACACCTCCAGGAGAGGGAAAAAGACTGGCATCCTTTCCAAGTCACCAAGGACCAGGCATCACACGCAGCCAAGAACGCCTTCCTCAAAGACACACTGAGACTACCTGCTTGCTACCAGGGTCCAGGCACCTAAGACACATCTATTGAGACTATGACACACTGACAATGGAGCAGGTGATGGTCACACTCAGACACAGTGAAACGGGAGGACGCTGGCTTCTACAACAAGAAATCCAGCAGGGAACCCCGACTGCCCAGCTGAGGGGACTGCTGAAAGCAACGGCAATGATGGGACGTCAGAGATTGGCCAACAAAAACAGAACACTGCCGGAGACAGGGCACAGGAAGACGAGAGATGCACTACCTACATGATGGAGCTCCTGCAACGGCACACACCCTGCTCAGTGCTGGGCTACGTGCTGTCAGGACGTCACTGCCCACCTGGCCCAACACCACAGCCCCGATGCACTCAAAGGAGAGTGTAGTTAAAATCTAGGTCTAGGGACTTTCATTTCTTACATGTCCATGGATTATATACGGACAATGACTTCACTATACAAGGTTTTCTTTCTCTTTTCTTTCCTTCCTTCCTTTTTCTTTCTTTTGACCTGTTGAGCCTTGGTCCTACAGTTTTATGACCTCTCTTGGACCAGTTCTGCAGGAATTCACTACACTTGCCCCCCATCAGTTTATAAAGCCCTCATAATCCATCAACTCGCCGGAAGGCACCAGCAGACAGAGCTCAGAAAGGTTACATGGGCGGTCCTAACACGGAGCCCAGGTCTTGTGCCAACACGCCTCACACGTAACACCTCCTAGAGCACTGAAATAACGGGGCATGCAAAACTCACAAAGACCATCAACATGGAATATGACTTAAGAACTGAAACAGAGGATCTTCATTGTGGTTCTCTCTTGTTGTTCTAGAGATGGTTTCTAGAGCATGACAACGTGTAGGCAGGGCCCCCAATGGCTGTGGAGGCCACAGGGCTGCTTGTCAGCCACATCTACCTGCAGCCTCCTGGTGGCCCAACGCCCAGCTCTGACAATGGGTACGTGGTCAGCAGTGGTCTGATAAGTATGGTTTTACCACTGACCTGATGACAGGTGGTTTTACCAATCAGTGGTCTGATAAGGGGGGTGTTATCAACCGAGGATCTGATAACAGGTGAGGCGTTATCAATGGTCTGATAATAAGAGGCGGGTGACACAAACAGTCCAGCCAATAGTCTCTGTAGCAAGAGGGGATAGCCAAGGGCCTTTCTCCTTCCCTAGAGTAAAAAGGAATGAATCCCAGGAAAAATCCGAGAAATCAGAACTGCTACACCATTCCCCCGCCCCCCCCAGCACATTTATTCCTGCCGGTAATGCCAGCTGGACAGACAGAGGGTTCACAGTCCGGTAACCACCGATTTCCAAGGGGACACGAAGATCAGCA